AGACCAATTAGTACCACCTGCAGGATGGACTAGGCCTGTTACTGCTCACATTAACCCTTGAGGGGAAGGCCAGGGGTGTGGTGTCTCAGTTGCCAACCTCCAGGTGGGGCCTGGAGATCTCCCAGGATTGCAATGGTTCTCCCCACTGAAGAGATCAGTTCCTAGGGTTGCCAGCTCTAGATTGGGAAATACTTGGATATTTGGGGGGTTGGAGACTAGGATGGGTTGGGGTTGGGGAGGCTTCGAAGGATGCTCAGCAGGTTATAATGCCATACAGTCCACATTCCAAAAGCTGCCATTTTCTCCAAGGGAACTGATCTCTGTCATCTGGAGACCAGCTGCCATCTGGAGATTAACAATATCCAAAGACCACGGTGTAAATGATTAGACTAGATAACTAAAGCACCACATATAATAATACTATATACTATATTTATGATCAGAATACTTAGGCTTCAAAATTAAGATAGTTTGTTATTTACATTCAATAATGTTCCATTAACAGTGCATACATTCTAATAATACAAGGCCAAAACTGTAAAACTGGCCCCACTGGTGGACCTCCTGATGGCACTGGTATTTCTGGCCATTGTGTGACACAGAGTGTTGGACTGGATGGGCCTTTGGCCTGATCCAACATTGGCGTCTCTTATGTTAACTCATCATCAAACAGAAAAGAATTGATTCAAATAACAAGCTTAAAAGTAGTATTTCTTAAATCATGTCCAAAAACTCAGAAGATGCTGAAATGACCTGAAGCTTGACAAAGAGCTTCAAAGAACGCTGAGACAAACTGAAACTTGAAAGACTACGGGGATTGGTAAAAATTCTTCCTCAGGTCTTAGAGCAACACATGTCTTAAATTTAATAATGGAAATCTATTCACTGTACTAGTTATATACTAGCACAGAGCACTGGAAATTGCAACTGTTAAGTCGCTCGCTTAACAAATTAGTCGGAGAGTGATTCAGCAAAAGATCAGCTTTATTCAACAACTCGTAACACAACTCCAACACGGATCAACATGAATAGCCAGAACAGCTTTAGCATAGCAGCTGTTCTGCTTTTAAACTCTCCCTGCTAATGTAAGGTTGTATACATAAAGTCCAATCACTGACGTTCCCGCTCAGGGAGCTTGATGGCATGTGATTGGTTGGTTCTTCCTGGGCTACCAATAGGATTGGAGGGATTAGGATCCTAGCCCAGGATGAAGCTTGACATGTAACTTCAATTAGGTGTTTCACAAGCATGTTCTGTATTGCAATGGCAGCTATTGAATACATCACAGCAACTCTAAACAGTTTTACAAAATGTACATAATTTCATTTGAGGGACTTTCCAATAAAATTTATATATGTGGTTCTCGACCTACAGCTGTGAATTCCTCCTTATAAGCAGTTTGAGACTTTCTATTCCTCAAAATATATTTTCGTCACACTAACTTTTATCCTTGCTGCCAGACACTTGCTTGTTCTGGGACTTTCTGAACCACTGTTATCACATCTTTTCTCCCTAGGCGCTTATTCTCTGATGCTGGGAATAGTTTGCTTTACTGATAAGTTTTGCTCAGGTCACATGCTATAGTATAAAGGTGTATATTAGCTTCTTTAAAATGATATTAGCCTTGCTACCTTAATATAAGCCTACAATAATATAAGCATTGCTTCTTTGCTCATCAAAGGTTAGGCTGACAGTGTGTGACTGGCCCAAGGTCACCCAGCAAGCTTCCATGGCATGAGTGTGGATTCAAACCTGGCTCTCCCACATCCTAATTCAGCACTCTAACCACTACACCACACCAGAGATGAAATATATCCTTTCCACGTGAGAGTTAAGCACACCTTTCCAGCTTTAATTACTTTAAAAATGTATCTTGGCTAACATAAAGTCTAGTTTAAGAAACCATCAAAGTAATCCTGAGCAGGTCTACTGAGAATCCAATTTAAAGACTTCATTCAAAATTAGGGCTGCCAACTCCAGGTTGGGAAATTCCTGGCGATTTCAGGGGAAGAGAGTGGGTTTTGGAAGGCAAGGGGCCTCAGCCGGGTATAATGCCATACAGTCCACCACCCTCCAGAACAGCTATTTTCTCCAGGGGGACTGATCTCTGTAGTCAGGAGTTATGTTGGAATTATGAGAGATCTCCAGGCCTGTAGTCTGGAGATCAGGTGGCATTCCGAAAGATCTCCAGGCCTGGCTTGGAGGTTGATAGCCCTATGGGGTTTACAATCAGGAAACCGATCCTAGGATGGCACTCTCTACCTCAGCAACTGCAATAATTGATGTGGATAGATTCAGGTGGGTGGCCATGTTGGTCGGGTTTACAATCAGGAAACCAATCCTAGGATGGCACTCTCTACCTTAGCAATTGCAATAATTGATGTGGATAGATTCAGGTGGGTGGCCATGTTGGTCTAAAGTAGCAGAACAAAGTTTGAGTCCAGTGGCACCTTTAAGACCAACAACATTTTAGTCAAAGTGAAAAGTAATAAGAAACGTGGAGTGATTTCAGGGCTTCAGGGCTTTGCTTGACCGCATGGCCCAACGGTCGCACACGTGGCAATGGCGGAGTACATTACACAAAGTATAAGCTTTTGTGTGCAAGCACACTTCTAAAGATAGAGTGAAGCAGAATTCCCTCAACCATTATATACAGAAAGGGGGGTTAGTTGCCAGGAAGGGCCAATTTGTTCAAGATAGAGACAGAAACAAAATTGGAACTAACCAGTCCATACATATAGGTGAGTGGTAATTTATCATACAGCATAATGAAGGTGTTTAACAGATTCAAGGATCAAACAGGAAAAATAAGTTTAGGATATATGGTAACCATTTGTTTGGGTTCAGTTCTGGGGCAAAAACTGAAGAAAATAAAAACGTCAAAATTGGAGATTGATGTATCCTTAATCCATCTCCTCTCAATCCTGGAGGCGATTCATTATGCTTAAGGGGGGCGGGGAAAATAAACGAGAACTACGTGGATCCTCATTGATCTTCAGTAAACATTTCTATTGCACTAGACGGGCTATTCCTCCCTCCCCTCTCCAGCCAGCCAGCCAGCCAGCACGCACCAGCCCGGAACACGTAATCGAAACCGAAAGCATCCACTTCATAGCTGCCTTGGCTATCTTGGTTTGTTCTGTGCAAAAGAAAGCCATGGCTACGGTTCAGGAGCTCCAATCCGAAGCCTTGTGCTCGATTTGCTTGGAGTATTTCAAAGAGCCGGTGACTATTGCTTGCGGGCACAATTTCTGCCGCGCCTGCATTGAGCTGTGCTGGGGCAAAGCGGAGGGAAACGTGGAAGGAAACTTTTCATGTCCTCAATGCCGAGAAACGATCCAGGAAAGAACCTTCAGGCCCAACAGGGCGTTGGGGAATATGGTGGAACTGGTGAAACGTCTGGAATTGGAAGCAGCAGCAGAAGCCTCGCCGGTACCATTATGCACGAGACACCAGGAGCCCCTGAAACTCTTCTGCCAGGAGGAGGAGACCCCCATCTGCGTCATCTGCAGGGAATCCCGCGACCACCGGTCTCATCAAGTGCTTCCCATCGAAGAGGCTGCCGAGGATTATAAAGTAAAATATTGTGTTGCTCACTGAAACTGGGGGGAGGGGGAGAGATTGGGCGGGAAGTTGGCAGCCAGGGTGGTTTTACATGTTTGCCCTGTTCATACGGAAAGCCGCCTGGCGCTGATTTCCTAGTATAACAGGCTAGTGCAGGCGTTTTTGTTGAGGGGGGGGGGGGGGGGGGGGGGGGGGGGGGGGGGAGTAGGAGGGATTCGGTCAAAGATTGGCAGGCAGGGGAGAGGAAGAATTCAGCCCCCCTCACCACTTTGATGTTAAACCTCGCCCCGTTTAGAGAAAATGTAGCTCACAAAACATGGCTGTCAGACCACCCATCGCGTCTACTTTGGCCCTCGTGTGCTCGAAATGGCGACGGTTTCTGTTTTATTTCTGTATTTATTTAGGTCGACTAACACCAGTGGAATGAAACAATTTAATCTAAAATAATACTCACCTATGGTGGTCGATAAGCCATGAGAGCTAAAAACAAACAAACAGGAAGGCGTGTAAAAAAATCTAAATTATGTTTTGGGGGGAAAACCAAGTGCATTCAAAAGACCAGTTCTCATGAGACTAAAGGTTGTTTCTGGATACCATTATGCAGTTCTTTTGCTGTATATTTGGGAGCACTAGATACTGAGTTATATGTCAAGGAAGGGCTATTTACTTCTGTGGCATTCTCCTGACCTCCCAGAAGTGCCTAGTGATCTACTGCTGGAGACGGAATCTCTGGACCAGATTCTGTCCTACTGGAAGTCTTACAAGATTGTTTCCCAAGAGAACTATACACAAGTTTTTTTGTGTCCCTGCTTGTCTGCCCTGGCCCAGTCAATCAGACATACGGGAATGCTGTCCTTCAAACTTTTATTTATTTCTGTCATTTATAGTCTGCCTTGAGACTCAAGGTGAGATTACACAGCTGGAGACAATTTAATTCAGCTGGAACAGAACATCCTATAAACAATACAATAGAGGTTTGGGTTGCAAATATCTGAAAACTTAGAATCACAGAGTTGGAAGGGGCCATACAGCCCATCTAGTACAACTCCCTGCTCAAAGTAGGATCAGCCTAATTCAGCCTTTCTGCCTTCTCTCTGTCAGTTTGGTGTAGTGGTTAAGTGCGCAGACTCTAGGAGGACTGGGTTTGATTCCCCACTCCTCCACTTGCACCTGCTGGATGACCTTGGGCAAAATATAGTTCTGGCACAGCTGTTCTAGAAAAATAACAGTTTCTGTCAGAGCTCTCCAGCGCTACCTACTTCACAGGGTGTCTGTTGTGGGGAGGGGAAGGGAAAGGAGTTTGTAAGCCTCTCTGAGACTCCCTTGGGTAGTGAAGGGCGGGGTATAAATCCAATCTCTTCTTCTTTGTCAGAGTTTCTCCATTTTCACCCAACAGTGGGCCCTTCGCCTCTTTTATCTTGCGTTTGCTCTTCACATATCTGAAGATCTGTAGCAAGCAATGCTCCCTCTAAGCTGTAGAGCCTTATGAGCAAAAATTCTACTTCGTGAGCTACTGGCATTAAAGTTGTGAGCGAGCAATTTGGCTATTGCATAAATTAGTTTGCTCTGAAGCCATCCTTCCTGAGACAAAAGACAAAGACAAAAATCTGTGAGCTGGAGGCTAAAAGACTGTGAGCTAGCTCACACTAACTCAGCTTAGAGGGAACACTGGTAGCGAGCCCCCCTGGCCAGCTTTAGCTCACTGTGAGCTTTGGCCTCTCTGATGGCCGACCTACAGTGCCTAGCAACTCACATATACTCTTCTTTAGAGGTATGGCCTTTCCTCCATTTCTTGAACATTTCCTTTTTCTCCCTTAGCACATCACAGAGTTCTCTGCTCACCCACATTGGCTTCTTGGATTCCCTACCATGTTTCCTTCTTGTTGGAATAGTGATGACTTGAGCTTGTAAGAGCTCTTGTTTTAGGAGAGCCCACCCTTCACTTGCGGGACTGGAATGCTAAAGTAGGAAGTCAAAAGGTAACTGGAATAACAGACAAGTTTGGCCTTGGAAAGCAAAATGAAGCAGGGCAAAGGTTAACAGAGTTTTGTCAAGAGAACACACTGGTCATAGCGAACACCCTTTTCCAACAACCTAAGAGGCGACTCTACACATGGACATCACCAGATGGGCAACACCGAAATCAGATTGACTATATAATTTGCAGTCAAAGATGGAGAAGCTCTATCCAGTCAGTAAAAACAAGACCTGGAGCTGACTGTGGTTCAGATCATGAGCTACTCATTGCAAAATTCAGACTTAAACTGAAGAAAATTGGGAAAACCACGAGGCCATTCAGGTTTGACCTAGATCGCATCCCTGATGAATATACAGTAGAGGTGAAGAATAGATTCAAGGGTCTGGATTTGATAGATAGAGTGCCTGAAGAACTATGGACAGAGGTTCGTGACATCGTACAGGAGGCAGCAATCACCACCATCCCAAAGAAAAAGAAATGTAAGAAAGCAAAGTGGCTTTCTGATGAGGCTTTACAAATAGCAGAGGAAAGAAGGAAAGCGAAAGGCAAAGGCGAAAAGGAAAGATTTACCCAACTGAACGCAGATTTCCAGAGAACAGCAAGGAGAGATAAGGAGGCCTTCCTGAATGAACAGTGCAAAGTAATAGAAGAAAACAATAGAATGGGAAGGACTAGAGATCTCTTCAAGAAAATTGGAGAAATCAAGGGAGCGTTCCATGCAAAGCTGGCCATGATAAAGGACAAAAACGGTAGGGACCTAACAGAAGCAGAAGAGATTAGGAAAAGATGGCAAGAATACACAGAAGAACTATACAAGAAAGACCTCGATGTCCTTGACAACCACGACGGTATAATCACTGACCTCGAGCCAGACATCCTGGAATGTGAAGTTAAATGGGCCTTAGAAAGCATTGCTAACAACAAAGCTAGTGGAGGTGATGGTATTCCAGCTGAGCTATTCAAAGTCTTAGAAGATGATGCTGTTAAAGTGCTGCACTCCATTTGCCAGCAAATTTGGAAAACGCAACAGTGGCCACAGGATTGGAAAAGGTCAGTATACATTCCAATCCCAAAGAAGGGCAATGCCAAGGAATGTTCAAACTATCGCACAATTGCACTCATATCACACGCTAGCAAGGTCATGCTCAAGATCCTACAAGCTAGGCTTCAACAGTACGTGGATAGAGAACTGCCAGAAGTACAAGCTGGGTTTCGAAGAGGTAGAGGAACTAGAGATCAAATTGCCAACATTCGCTGGATTATGGAGAAAGCAAGAGAGTACCAGAAAAATATCTACTTCTGCTTCATTGACTATGCTAAAGCTTTTGACTGTGTGGATCACAACAAACTATGGCAGGTCCTTAAAGAGATGGGAGTACCAGACCACCTCACATGTCTCTTGAGAAACCTGTATAAGGGCCAAGAAGCGACAGTTAGAACCGGATATGGAACAACTGATTGGTTTAGCATAGGAAAAGGAGTACGACAAGGATGTATATTGTCACCTTGCTTATTTAATATATATGCAGAGTACATCATGCGAAATGCTGGCCTGGATGAATCACAAGCGGGAATTAAGATTGCTGGGGAAAAGATCAACAACCTCAGATATGCAGACGATACCACTCTAATGGCAGAAAGTGAAGAGGACCTAAAGAGCCTCTTGCTCAGGGTAAAAGAGGAGAGCGCAAAAGTGGGCTTGAAGCTCAACATCAAAAAAACTAAGATCATGGCATCCGGTCCCATCACTCCTTGGCAAATAGAAGGGGAAGCTGTGGAAGTAGTGACAGACTTCACGTTCCTGGGATCCCAAATCACCGCAGACTGTGACTGCAGCCATGAAATTAAAAGACGCCTGCTCCTTGGGAGGAAAGCGATGGCGAACCTAAACAGCATGATAAAAAGTAGAGACATCACCCTGCCAACAAAAATACGCATGGTCCAAGCAATGGTATTCCCAGTAGTCATGTATGGCTGCGAGAGTTGGACTATAAGGAAGGCCGAGCGCCGAAGAATAGATTCTTTTGAACTATGGTGCTGGAGAAGACTCTTGAGAGTCCCTTGGACTGCAAGAAGATCAAATCAGTCAATCCTAAAAGAAATCAACCCTGACTGTTCCCTGGAAGGCCAGATAATGAAAATGAAGCTCAAATACTTTGGCCACCAAATGAGAAGGGAGCACTCACTGGAGAAGACCTTGATGCTGGGAAAGATTGAAGGTCAAAGAAGACGGGGACGGCAAAGGATGAGATGGTTAGACAGTGTCAGAGATGCAACGAACATGAAACTGAGCAAACTTCAGAGGACAGCGGAAGACAGGAGGGCCTGGTGGGATCTAGTCCATGGGGTCGCGAAGAGTCGGACTCGACTGTGCGACTGAACAACAACAAATGAACTTCCTTGGTCTCCCACAGCAAGAGGAATTCTAACAGGACATGATCACTTCCCCCTAAGGTCCTCACCACCACCCCATCGACCATCTCCTGCCTGTTGGTCAATATTAAGTCGAGTATGGCTGAGCCCCTCATAGCCTCCGCCACCATTTAATGAAGTTGTTGGCTAGAAAGGTCAGGAACATGTGAGACTGTGAATTCTTCGCAGAGTTTGTCTCTCAGGACACATTAGGGAAGTTGAAGTCACCCATAACTACCAGGTCATGTTGTTTGGATACTCTGTCAAGCTGTTCAAGGACGGTAGCACATACCTCCTCATCCAACCTCATCCAGCCACAATACTGTTTGTCCTTCCTTCCCTTATCCTCACTCAGATACTTTCCACTGGACTGTCGCCCTCCTCCTTCAGTATTTCCTGACAAACAAACCCTCTCTTCACTCCACCTCCTCTTCAACGCTTTTTTCCCCCCTTGAACAACTCATATCCATCCACAATTACATTCCAGTCATGGGAATTATCCCATCAAGATGCCTAATCATATCCCTCTGCCTACATTAGACTCTCAAGCGCTTCCTATTGCCCAAGCTTTGGGCATTGGTACATAGACACCTGAAGCCTGAAGACACCTGAAGCTTTTGGC